TTTTCTTTCCAGTGATTTCATATTAGCACATTTTCTAATTAGTCAATGACAGGTTTTACTTTTCAATTTCTAAGTTACAGTTCACTCCTGGAAAAAAAATATATATATATATACATACATATATTTTAAAACTATTGTACAGATTCAGTTGGCTGGATCTACTGAGTAACCCCATGAACTAATGAAGTAAATATTTGCCCCCGCTGGGGTGTGGACGGCTGCCAGGACGGCCGAGCATACACCTGCAGAGGCCGGTGAGTCACCTCTGAGTCACTCAGCAAGCGTTAGGGAGAAGCCAGCCAGGATGCAGGGGTGCACTTGGCTGCCAGTTCTCTCCTGCCCTCCCAGAATAATGACATTAATGACACTTCCAAACAGCTCACCCAGTCACAAAGTGGGAGATTTCAAAATCCATGTGGCAGCTGATTTCCTAATAGGATGCATTAAACAGGACATTGCATGTTTTATGGGCTGGGGTTGATGAGACCATAAGACTTAAAAGATGTAGCTAAAGTGGTTGAAAAATAGGCCTTGGAGGTTCAGATCAAAGCATTACAGGGGGGTGATTAGATAAATAAAAAGTTTAAGCCTAACTGAGCAAATAATTGCATATCCCCTGAAAAGCTCGGTTCACAGGGATTGATCAAATGTGAGTCACCCAGGCACAGATGTCTTTCTAAGAATATTCCTTTTAATTTTTTTAATAAACATCAAAAGGAAAAAAAATCTGGGTACTGACCAGCAAATACTCCTGTTTGTACAAGAAAAGCCTCTTTAAGAAACTGACAAAAAAATATATATCCCTCATTGTTTAAAGAGGGCAGTTTTCCCCTTTCTCCTCCTTCTCAGTAGTAAAAGGCTTTTGCTTAACACAGACTAATAGAGCTCACCTAAAGAAATTCTAAAAGATTTCCTAGCACCTTATCTTGTCCATTATTCTATAGAAGTCAGATTCAGGTTTATGTTAAAAGCATGTACTGTTATCTTTCTAAAGCAATATACGTCTGGGTGGGGGGAGATGCATCTTTGTCTAGTTAAGAAAACAGAAAGGTCTTTGCGAGCTTATTTGTGCATTGGTATGTGCCAGACACAAGTTATCTCATTTAATCCTCACGACAATGCTGAAGGCGGCTTTTCATATTCCTTATTTGTAGGTGAGGACATTAAGGCACAAGTGCGGATTAGGTAACCTGTCCCGAGTCACAGGGTGGGAAGTGGCAGAGTGGAGGGCGTGCGAGGCCAGGTCCAGGGCTGACCTCTTCCAGCCCGAGCACCGTGCTGCTGACAGCCATTCCTTTGCCCCCACAGGATTCGCTCAAGGGCACCTAGATTTCAGTCTTTTTTTTTCTTTTTTCAATCAACTAATTTATTTTTGTTACATATGTTTCTCCTTTTCCCTCCCAGATACCCCCCTCCCTACCCCTCCAAAAACATTGTTGTCTATGTCCATGGTTACACATACATGCATATAAGTTCTTTGATTTATCTCATCTCTCTCCCCCACCCTCCGCCCCCTTCCTCTGAGGTTTGTCAGTCTGAACTGTACTCCTTTCTATGTCTCTGGGTCTATTCCGTTCACCAGCCTTTTCTGTTCATTATATTCCACAAATAAGTGAGATCATGTGGTATTTGTTCAGTCATTTCTAAGAGCTGATCTGGGCTGTATCCCTGAGGCAGGATCTGGTATTATCTCTTACTTTGAAAGTAAGCAATGGGAGGTAGAGAGCGTAGCTTTCCTAAAACTGCATAATACAAGGCCCACGGGTGGGTAGAAATACATTCGGAGCTGCTAAGTTTCAAGCCTGTGATTTGGTCGCTAGTTCCCTGTGGTCAGTTGGTGACCAGGTGAGATATCTGGGTAGCCAGAGTCCCTGGTGAGTTGTTCTTCATGTCTCAGAATCGGCGGTTTCTTGGAAGCATCGCTTATCCCACAACATTCTCAAGAAACTGGTGATCAGAGCTGGCAGAGGCGTGGCACCGGTAGCACCGCCTGTCTGTGAGTCAATATGAATTTAGTCTGCAGGTCCGCCTGTGAGCTGCGTTTCACAGCATCATTGGCAAAATGTTTGCACCCTAATTTATTTATTCATTTGGTTTCTTAACAATTATTTTATTGATTTTAGAGTGAGAGGAAGGGAGAGGGAGAGAGAAATATAAATGTTCGTGAGAGAGAACATTGATTGGCCGCCTCCTGCATGCCCCCCACTGGGGATCGGGTACACAACCTGGGCATGTGCCCTGACCAGGAATTGAACCGGCAACCCCCTGGTGCATGGGTTGATGCTCAACCATGAGCCACACCGGCTGGGCACACCCTAATGTATAACTAATATTCTTTTTGACCTTTGTTTACTCAAATATTTCTGCACTAGGGTATTACTTTGTGTTTCAGTCCACGCCCCCCAACCCCCAGACAGCAAGGGACAGGGAAACAGGACAGCACAGAACAGGTAAGCAAACTCCATTCCTTCAGGGAGTCAGACTAGCCTGGTCCAAATCCAGGCTTTATAACTTTGAGAAAGTTGTTACGCTTTCTATGCCTCGATTTCCTCGTTGATAAATAGTATCACAATTTAGAACAAGGCATGATGGTTTCCTCAAGGAGCTCCTGGTCCCCTCCTGGTCCCCTTTCGAAGAAACTTCTCCCAAAGACCTGCCCCTTTGAGCCCCACTCTGTTTCGCAGAGGAGGTGACCGGCCACGGGAAACACCCGTACCAGGCCTGGAGCACAAGCTGTTGCACAGTTGGGCAAGCCTTCGGGGTGGAGAGTTACTAGGCAGATGTTCAAAAGCCAGTTCTTGCTAACTTGTGTCACTCTGGGCAAGTCATTTCACCCAGATCAGTTAGCTTTCTCCTCTGTGTAACAGAAAAAACTCTAATATATTCATTAGTTTTCACTTTCAGATAGTCATGTGTTTATTATTATTATTGCCTCAATGACATGGTGTTCACCTTGCCCCCTTTGAGTGCTGCCCAAGGAGACAAGGAGGCAGCGGTGCAGAGCATGGGGGTGCAGTCCTTGGGGTGAATGGGGCACCATGACTGCTGTCATCATAATGACATGTCAGAGAAGGTCACCACAGCCCCGGTTTGCAGTTATTTTGAGAACTACATGCAATAGATGTAAAATCAGCTCGCTGCAGTTATCACATACAAGTACCCCATCAATGTTCTTAAACAAACAAAACGAGACCAAGCACAGTCGGCCCTGTTAGGAGTGTGTGTGAGAAGAAAGACTGTGTGCTATCAACACATTTATCTTTAACCGCAGGCCAGAGCTAGAATACACTTAGAATGTGGTTGTGCGAAGTAGAAACAAACAAACAGACGTACAGGTGGCCGGGTGCCAGGACCTCTGCTGTCCTCAGGAGCCCCCGGGCAGTGTCTCCCAGCTCAGTGTTAACGTGGAACGTGCTCTAGCACCAAAGATGAAGCAGATGGTAACAGCAGAAGTTTTCCCCCAGTGCCCAGCGCCTCCTAGGTTTCCACTGACTGGTTTAGACATTACCCACATGTTCAAAGCCAAACCAAAGAAACGCTGTAAGTCTCAAAAAGGGGAGGCTGCTTCTCCCCTCGAGCAGTTTTCCACATTTGCTTTGTCTCCTGGAAACGCAGACTCAAGGGAAAGTTTTAAGAATCATACATGTTTATTTGCCCCCTAGATTTACATTCAAATGTCAATAAATGTTCATGGAGAGAGTGGGCCAGTATAAAACAGTGTTTTTCAAAGTCAAAGTATCCGTCTCAGAATCAGCTGAGGTTCTTGCTAAAAATTTGGATTCCAGACCAGTTATCTTGACCCTCTGTGGGCGGGGCCCTGGAATCCCGTGTTTAGCAGGCTTTCTGCAGGGGTCTAGCACCATGGATACTGGAGAATATCTGATACATGGGGAGAACATTTTCTGGATTTATTTTGCCTTCAGGCAACACCTGCCACATTGAAAAAGACACAAAACAATAATGGGCTGATTTTAAATCACCAAATGAGAAGATGGAGCATCTAAAAACATTTCTACCTGGGGAGTAGCAAACCCCAACACTAAAACACAGCAGATGACCTTTGAACCAAGTTCAGTGCTAGGGCTTTTCTAAGTTTGCCAAGTATTAAGAAGCATTTAATAACTTAAAAAGAAGCAAGTGTGTGTGTGTGTGTGTGTGTATGTGTGTGTATTAGAAACCAAATGTTAAATAACCAGGACAGAGTAGGGTTACAGAATTACTAATTACCTCTCTTTAATACATAAAAACTGTCAAAAATTAATAATCGTCAGTACTGAGAAAGGCCCATTGCATATCAGCCAGAATTATGTAGCAGCTCTGCAGGCCCTGCCCTCGCCCCAGTCAGACACGCGAGGAAGCAAACACAGTCCTGCTCTCTGGCTCGCTGGTGCAGGGTTTCTTAAATAGCTCAGGCTCTCAGGGCCCTTGGGCTTTCCCCCTTGAGAAATGTCCCTGTGCACAAACACTTGACTTTGAGTAAGGATCCAGGGAACTGGCAGGGACCTCACCTAAGAATCCCTCATCAAGTGTAGACACAGAGTATGACTTGGGTAGGTTCTAAATCCTGACCGGCTGTGGTCTTCCCTTTACACATGTAATTCAAACTGCAATTTAAACGTTTTAAAGACATGAAAGGGAAGTGTTCTAAATTAAAATTGCTTCTTTCCCGAACTTCTAATTGCTGTTTCTGTTTCGTAGTTGTTTGTTTTTGGTGTTTTTAGTGGTGTGTGTTTTCAATGCCTCTGCTTTGCCAGAGCCCTAAGCATATATTTAATTCGCCCGTGGATAACCCAGCATTGCTCTGGAGGAAGGCACGGTCCCCAAACACATGTATGACTATACGGGATGCCGTGCGCGCTGCACTGACGTGAGAGTACCGAGCAGGCTGCATGTTTCATCTCAACACAGTCATCCAAACTGGTTTTGAGCTCAACTAGAATATTCCATTAGGGATGCTAAGGAGAGAGGCAGTGACTCTCAGTTGAAAGGCAGTGTCCTCCGTACTTACCTGGCAGGGGAGATGTCATGATCACAAAGGTGGTTTTCCCAGGGAGAGGCTTATCCATTGCACTCCGGATGGGCTGACCCCTGCGATTTCCCCAAATGGGGGGAACTCGACTGCACAATTTGCGGCAGTGGGGGACTGCGTTCGCACTCTCCCCTGGAAAAAAGGCAGCATCCACCAGAGTGCCCTCAATAATTCCTCCAGCTGACCAGTTAGGAAGGGCGTACTCAAGGCCGGTGTGGGGGGCGCAAGGGAACGCACGTGGGTAGCATCGGATGCTCTGACCTGTTCCAGCAGAAGATGCCACTGAACACTCCTGATGGTGAGGATTGGGGGCAAGGTGCTGTGCAAGCCGATCCGAAGCTGGGGACAAGCAGAGGAAGGGAGAGCCAGGGCGGTGGCGGGAAGACGGATCCAGTGAGGGGAAGTCCCGGTGCACAATCCAGCAATGGAAAGGGAAATGGATGAGGGAAGGACAGAGAAAGGAGCCGAGCCAGGGGGACTGGGCTTCACAACGTGTCCTAATGTCGATAGCAGAACAAAGACTCCCAGAGCAGATACTCAGATGGCCTGGGTTTCTGTTCAAGAAAGATCTCCATACTTACTGCTCAAGGTATTTACCGCATAAGACATTTGTTTTTAACTCTCACACACATTGACCCACGTCTTCTCCATCGCCACCTGCTTTCAACGGAACACCCAGGGAAGAGTTGACTGTTTATTTATTGATGCTCTGCCCATTTCCAAAATGGATTTAAGGCAATGGAACACAAGAGGTAAGTCAAATTTCAGTGTTAAAAATTCATCACTGTAAGAATTTTCCATATCTTTAACCAGACAATCCTTGATCATTAACATGTTATATTGGTGCTGCTGACACTGTTTATATTCAGGTGCTTCTTTCTGCTTATGTAATAGAGAAAAGATCTCTTGCCCTCAGCTGTGTACTTGTTCCTTTAAAATATTTCAGGACAGCCCTGGCCGGTTTGGCTCAGCGGTTAGAGCGTCGGCCTGCGGTCCAGAGAGACCCGGGTTCGGTTCCCGCTAAGGGCATGTACCTCGGTTGCAGTTTGTCCCCGGCCCTGGTTGGTCGTGCGGGTGGCAGCCACTCGATGTGTTCCTTTCACATCGATGTTTCTCTCTCTCTCTCTGTTCCTCTCTCTCCCTCCCACTCTACCTGAACAAAAAAATGGAAAAATGTCCTCGGGTGAGGATTAAAAAATAAAAAAATAAAATAAATAAAATATTTCAGGACAGAGTGTCAGGAACCACATTTTCAGATGGAGAGTCAGTTCAGGGTGTACAGGTTATGATGATAATCACTACCATTTCAAAGGTGCCTGGCATTTTCCATATAACCACATTGAATCCTCCCAGCAACATTTAAGGACTTTATTTCTGTTCCTCACACTACAGATGAGGAAACTGAGGACCAAAAGGGACTTACTGACTTGCCTGAGGTCACACGGCTAATGTTCGCACACAGCTGTGACTCGTGTCAAAGCCTCCCTGTTTTCCTTTGCCTGCTCTGTCTTCCTGAAATGGGGAGGAAGTGAGAAAAGGGACCGAGAGCTGGAGGTCACTCAGCTGTCTGTGGGAGAAAGCTCAGGACCAGTGGCCCTAATGCAGACATGGATACGTGGCACCTAGCACTTGTCCCCGCTTCTGAAACACACCTTTGCTATTAATCTATTCTCAGGGTTTGAGTCATGTTTTCCACCTAAATGAACAGGGTTTGCTTTAGTATCACTTATGTAATGTAAATATCATCTTTCCCCATGGGAATCGTTTTGCTGTTTGAAGTTGTGGGTTTGGGCCTGGATTTGTACATGTCTTGCCTGGCTGATCATTGCATGAGCAACTTAAGTGACTTAAGTAGTAAGAGAAAAGGTAAACACGCTGTTTTCAAACACCACTGCAGAAGTAAGATGTAATTAAGACCCTCAGCAACAATTCTTGTCTTTTATACAGTACTTTAAAATTTTTAGGGGGTAGCCCAGCTTGTGTGGCTCAGTGGCTAAGCATCAACCCATGCACCAAGAGGTCACCGGTTTGATTCCCAGTCAGGGCACATGCCCAGGTTGTGGGCCTGATCCCCAGTGGGGGGCATGCAGGAGGCAGCCAATCGATGTTCTCTCTTATCGATGTTTCTATCTCTCGCTCCTTCTCCCTTCCTCTCTCTCTAAGATCAATAAAGACAAAAAAATTTTTAGGGGGTAGAGGAAAAAGCTGGATGTAATTCAGAAGAAAATTGGGATTTAACAGGATCTAATCAGGAGTTAATTAGCCATATATGTGCCAGGCTGTCTTAAAATATCCCTCCACTAATCTCTGCTTCTCTGACTTGTGTCTGGAGAGACACTGAGGCCAGGGTAAAAATCAGAGATGCCACCAAGATTCTGAGACTGGTACCCACACCTGCTACCCACACCTGCATTAGCAAATAAGCTTTTTTTGTGGAATGTTTCCTGTGTGCGGATGAATTAATCTGGCCTTGAATTTCATCACCCAGGGCTGAGTTCTTTTACAAGTCAGTGACTGAGCAATGGTTCTCAAACTGTTTCTAATAAATGAACGAGGGGTTCCCCTCCCCCACGACGCCTGAGATAAATCTTTTGTACATTATCTGTTTAAAGTCCTCTTTATGTCAATAAAAATAGGGGTGTTTCCAACAAAAGATTTATTTTTGTTCCTAACCATAATCATCATCAACTCAAAATCCACTCCTTGTGGCGGTGGGCCTGGATCAAAGATGCTCTTTTCGAAAGCAGATCACCAAAGCCTGTAATGACATATAGGCTGACAGCACTGAACTGAAAGACAAGCAGGGCTGCGTGTACCGACAGGCACTCCACACACACTCTTCAGGATAAAGAGCCGAGGCTGATTGAGATATGCCGACTGTCATTTTCTTAGACGACTTTCCGTGTATTTATGGAAGAACCTTATTGCAAAAAACAGTATAGACCCTAGCCAGGTAGCTCAGTTGGTAAGAGCATTATCCCAAGATGCCAAGGTTTCAGGTTTGATGCCCAGTCAGTGTACATACAAGAATCAACCAATGAATGCATAAATAAATGGAACAACAAATTGATATTTCTCCCTCTCTCTCCCCTTGCTCTCCCTCTAAAAATAAATCAATAAAAAAACAAAAAACCCACAATGTGTGGTACAGCCACTATGGAAAACAGTATGGAGTTTTCTCCAAAAATTCAAAAAGGAACTGCCATTTGACCCAGTGATACTACTGTTAGGAATATACCCTAAGAAGCCTGAAACACCAATCAGAAAGAATATATGTATCCCATGTTCATAGCAGCACTATTTACAATAGCTAAGATCTGGAAACAGCCCAAGTGTCCATCAGTAGACGAATGGATAGAAAAGCTATGGTACATATACACAATGGAATATTCTGCAACTGTAAAAAGGATCTCTTACCTTTTGAGACGACATGGAGGGACCTGGAGAGTATTATGCTAAGCAAAATAAACCAGTCAGATAAAGACATGATTTCACTTATATGTAAGAGCTAATGAACAAAATAAACTAACAAACAAAATAGATCCAGAGATGTGGAAGCAGAGAACAAACTGACAAACCTCAGATGGAAGGGGGTGGGAGGGGCAGGGAGAGATAGACAATAGAATTTATATGTATATTATGCATAACCAATAAACACAGACAATAGTGTGGAGCAGGGGGTCAATGGGGGAAAAAGGCAAGACATCTGTAATACTTTCAACAATAAAGATACATAAAAAATAAAAATAAAGCCTTGGCTGGAGAGGACCAAAGGGTCATAGGTTCAATTCCTGGTCAAGGGCATGTACCTGGATTACAGGTTTGAACCCTGGCCCCAGTCAGTGTCTGTGGGAGATAACCAATCAATGTATCTCTCTCACATTGATGTTTCTCTCTCTCCCTCCCTCCCTTCCACTCTATCTAAAAATCAATGGAAAAATATAATCAGGTGAGGATTAACAAAAATAAATAAATAAATAAATAAATAAATAAATAAATAAAGTATGAAAAAATATATATATATGTGTATCCTACAGAAAATTTAGAAAATAGATGAAGAAAGACATGAAAATCACATGTAATCCAAAAGTAACCACAGTTAAAATTTTGCTATATAAACTCCCAGTGTTTTAAAAAAATGTATGATATATGTTTTATATAAAAATAGATCATGCTATGGGTGATATTTTTAATCTAATTTTTTTACTTAGAAAAATATGAAGATTTTTCTATGCCATTAAACCTTTTCCAACATCATTTTTCTGTCTTTACAATATTCCATAGTATGTAATTGTCTATTTTCAAGTAAATAGCTTTTAAAAACCTAATATTGAAGGTAACGTATGCTCACTGTTTAAAAAATAAATCAGATGGACATAAAGAAGAATAATTTAAAAATCTGTAGGCAATCCTGTAACAAGGTAGAATTTCTGCCTAGAGATTTGTGTACTTTTAAAGTTTTATTCATGTGTCACTAGATTAGCCACAAAAGGTTATATCTTTGATTCTTAGTAAGGTTGATTATTATTATAGAATAAGAATTTCTCATATAAACTATCATTTCTGCCCACATTTCAATGGGTTTGTAAAATCCCCTTTGTAGTAAGGTTGTCAATCACTTTTTTCTGTCAACTTTATTAAATGTTTTCCTCAGTTTTTTCTTTATCTTTGAATTATTTGTTTGTTTTTAACTTTTTATTTTTAATTAACTAGAATGATAGAACAATTGCATAAGAAGTACAGAGAATTCCTATATGGCCTTCATCCAGCTCCCCTTATTAACTTACATAATCACAGTGCAATTGCCAAAACTGACGGAATTAATGTTGGTACAATACTATTAACTAAACTGCAGACTATTCAGACATTATTTGATTTTTCTACTGTTGTTTCCTGTTCCACAATCTAATCTGGAATCCCACGTAGTATTTAGTTGTTTTATCTCCTTAGTCTCCTCCAATGTGATGGTCTCCATCTTTCCATGATTTTCATGACCTTGACATTTTTGAAGAGTACTGGTCAAGTATTTTATAGAATGTTGTTCAATTTGGGTCTCTCTACTCTAAAGTTACCATTTTTCTCTTCCCATAATCAATTTTTAAAAAGAAGTCACTACATATGAACAAATGTTCAAT